CCTTTTTATTCTTCCTTCCTTATTCCTTCACTTTTTCCCTTCTTCCTTCATTCTTCCTTAGTCTTATTCCTTCACTTTTCCCTTCTTTCCTTCATTCTTCCTTAGTCTTATTCCTTCACTTTTTCCCTTCTTCCTTCATTCTTCTTTCTTATTCCTTCACTTTTCCCCTTCTTCCTTCACTTTTTCCTTAGTCTTATTCCCTTCCTTTTCCCTTCTTCCTTCATTCTTCCTTAGTCTTATTCCTTCACTTTTCCCATTCTTCCTTCATTCTTCCTTAGTCTTATTCCTTCACTTTTCCCTTCCTTCATTCCTTCTTCCTTAGTTCCTTCCCTTCTTCCCTTGGTCTTATTCCTTCATTTTTCCCTTCTTCCTTCATTCTTCCTTAGTCTTATTCCTTCACTTTTTCCCTTCTTCCTTCATTCTTCCTTAGTCTTATTCCTTCACTTTTTTCCCTTCTTCATTCTTCCTTCTTATTCTTCTTTCCTTCATTCTTCCTTAGTCTTATTCCTTCATTTTTTTTTCCTCATCTTCCCTTTATTCTTCCTTTTCCTTATTCTTCACTTTTCCCTTCTTCCTTCATTTTCTTCCTTCTTTCTTCCTTAGTCTTATTCCTTCACTTTTCCTTCTTTCTTCATTCTTCCTTAGTCTTATTCCTTCACTTTTCCCCTTCTTCCTTCATTTTCCCTTAGTCTTATTCCTTCATTTTTCCTTTCTTCATTTCCTTCTTCCTCATTCTTCTTAGTCTTATTCCTTCACTTTTCCTTCTTCCTTCATTCTTCCTTAGTCTTATTCCTTCACTTTTCCCTTTTTCCTTAGTCTTATTCCTTCACTTTTCTTCTTCCTTCTTTCTTAGTCTTATTCCTTCACTTTTTTCCTTCTTCCTTATTCTTCCTTAGTCTTATTCCTTCACTTTTTTTCTTCCTTCATTCTTCCTTAGTCTTATTCCTTCACTTTTCCCTTCTTCCCTTCATTCTTCCTTAGTCTTATTCCTTCACTTTTCCCTTTCTTCTTTCATTTCTTCCTTTAGTCTTATTCCTTCACTTTTTCCCTTCTTCCTTCATTCTTCCTTAGTCTTATTCCTTCTTTTCACTTTTTTCCTTCTTCCTTTATTTTTTCCTTAGTCTTATTCCTTCCTTTCCTTCTTCCTTCATTCTTCCTTAGTCTTATTCTTTCATTTTCCTTCTTCCTTCATTCTTCCTTAGTCTTATTCCTTCACTTTTTTCCATTCTTCCTTCATTCTTCCTTAGTCTTATTCCTTCACTTTTCCCTTCTTCCTTCTTATTCCTTCACTTTTTCCTTCTTCCTTCATTCTTTCAGTCTTTTCCTTCCTTCTTCTTCTTCCTTCCTTCCTTTTCCTTCTTCCTTAGTCTTATTCCTTCACTTTTTCCCTTCTTCCTTCATTCTTCCTTAGTCTTATTCCTTCACTTTTTCCCTTCTTCCTTAGTCTTATTCCTTCACTTTTTCCCTTCTTCCTTCATTCTTCCTTAGTCTTATTCCTTCACTTTTCCCTTCTTCCTTCATTCTTCCTTAGTCTTATTCCTTCACTTTTTCCCTTCTTCCTTCATTCTTCCTTAGTCTTATTCCTTCACTTTTTCCTTCTTCCTTCATTCTTCCTTAGTCTTATTCCTTCACTTTTTTCTTCCTTCATTCTTCCTTAGTCTTATTCCTTCACTTTTTCCCTTCTTCCTTCATACTTCCTTAGTCTTATTCCTTCACTTTTCCCTTCTTCCTTCATATTCTTAGTCTTATTCCTTCAGTTTTCCCTTCTTCCTTCATTCTCCCTTAGTCTTATTCCTTCTTTTTTTTCCTTTTCATTCTTCCTTAGTCTTATTCCTTCACTTTTTCCCTTCTTCCTTCATTCTTCCTTAGTCTTATTCCTTCACTTTTTCCCTTCTTCCTTAGTCTTATTCCTTCACTTTTTCCCTTCTTTCTTAATTCTTCCTTAGTCTTATTCCTTCACTTTTTCCCTTCTTCCTTAGTCTTATTCCTTCACTTTTTCCCTTCTTCCTTCATTCTTCCTTAGTCTTATTCCTTCACTTTTTCCCTTCTTCCTTCATTCTTCCTTAGTCTTATTCCTTCACTTTTCCCCTTCTTCCTTCATTCTTCCTTTCTTCCTTCATTCTTCCTTAGTCTTATTCCTTCACTTTTTCCCCTCTTCCTTCATACTTCATTAGTCTTATTCCTTCACTTTTTCTCTTATTCCTTCACTTTTTCCCTTCTTCCTTCATTCTTCCTTAGTCTTATTCCTTCACTTTTTCCCTTCTTTCTTCATTCTTCCCTTCTTTCTTTTCCTTCTTCCTTCTTCCTTATTTATTCCTTCTTTTCCCTTCTTCTTCTTATTCCTTCATTTTTCTTCTTTCTTAATTCTTCCTTAGTCTTATTCTTTCATTTTTCCCTTCTTCCTTAGTCTTATTCCTTCTTTTCCCTTCCTTCATTCTTCCCTAGTCTTATTCCTTCACTTTTTTCTTCCTTATTCTTCCTTAGTCTTATTCCTTCACTTTTCCCTTCTTCCTTCATTCTTCCTTTCTTCCTTCATTCTTATTTATTCCTTCACTTTTTCCCTCTTCCTTCATTTCATTAGTCTTATTCCTTCACTTTTCTTTATTCTTCCTTCTTCTTCATTCTTCCTTAGTCTTATTCCTTCCTTTTTCTTCTTTTCTTCATTCTTCCTTCTTTCATTCTTCCTTAGTCTTATTCCTTCACTTTTTCCCCTCTTCCTTCATTCTTCCTTAGTCTTATTCCTTCACTTTTCCCCTTCTTCATTCTTCCTTAGTCTTTATTCCTTCTTTCATTCATTCTCTGTTCCATTATTTCTGTATTGCTTTCTGTCACCTTCAGCTGAAATTTTTTTATCTTTTCATAAAGTTGTTTTTTTTTTTTTGGGGGGTTTTTTGTTTTGGTTTTTTTTCAGTACTTTTCAGTGTTGACTTTCATCTTTATTTTTCTACACATTCTACATGCTTTTATAACTTCAGCCATTTTTTTTTTCTCTCACTCTCCTTTGTCTCAATCTTTTACTTTCTGCACACTCCCTTTCTTTTTCTTCAATTCTTCTACCTCTTTTCTTCCTTGCCATTCCCTACTCTCTCTCCCTGTGTGTAGTGGCTTATGGTTGCATCACATTAAAACACTATTTCCTGCATGATCACTGAAGTTAAGCAATGCCAAACCTGGTCAGTACCTAGATGGGTGACCACATATAAATACCAGGTGATATAAGCTTGGATGTGCAGGTGGTGTAATGAATAATGGCTTGGAATTGATAATCAGAGAGCAGAGTTCCAGTTCCAGTTGGGTTATATTCACTTATGCACAAACACTCTTTGGAAAGGTATGAAACCACCTCTTCTCCCCCAGCTATGGGTTAATTAGATTTATATCACTAAAACCATTATTATCTCCAAAATAGAAATAAAATTGCATATAAAACATTTACATTTCAGCATTAAAAAAACCCATAGAGGGTGATATGCTGCTAAACATAAAAAACCAGCAAATCTGTGTGTAGTGATGGATTTATTAAGTCAATCTTGCAGAGGGCAAAAATATGAGAAAGTGCAGGGTTGGTAAATAGTTTTTAATAATCTGCTAAGGAGGGAATCTCAGTTTATGTTCAATATCCATTCAGGATATAAAAATCATGGCTCTTCACAGCTTCCCATCTTTTGCTGATCTCATTTTTTCTTTGCGATTATTCTTTCATTATGTGATGTGTTCTGACATCCATTTCTCATATAGTTTACCTGTTGCTTTCCTCAGCTTATATTGCATTCTGTGTTACCTATGTGTGTTAATTTCTCCCAGCATTCTTTCCTCATTAAGTGTTACAAAAATTTGAGCTCTCTCTTTTTCTGATTTTTAGGCACAGTTGATTTGTAATTCTTATTCTCCTTAGATTTTTACTGTTTCTTGTGTATTCTAAACATAGTAATTTTAACATTTCTGAGGTGTTCCCCAGGGCCCTATTCTTGGACATACATTGTCCCTAATTTTCATCAACAACTTTCCTGATGGCATCAATTCTCAACTCTGTATTTATACTGATGAGGCAACTATTTGCTCCTGTTTTAATAGTAAGTCTGATTGGTTTGATATAGTCAAATTGGCCGACATTTTCTTGTTTACTGGTGCAATGAATAGTTTATTAATTTTAACACCTCCAAAATAAAACTGCTCTCTATCTGAGAGAATACTTTATGCCTTCCATCATCATGGCTGATGCTAGCTTACAGGAGAGTGACTCATTGCACCTTCATGAGTTAACGTTTTCTGCTGATTTGAAGTGGAAAGATTATATTGAATCAATTGCTTGGTTTGGTACTAAAAAAGTTGGTTCACTGTGATATTTTAGACAATTTTTCTTACCCAAATCTATCTTAAATCTTTATAAGTCTACAATGCCTAGAATATTGCTGCCACATATGTTTTTGGTGTGCCTGCTATATATGTAGAGATCCTTGATAAAATCCGAAGAAGAATCTGCAATGTTATTGGTACTGACCTGGCATCTCGGCTTCAGTCACTTTCCCACCGCCATAATGTAGCTTCCCTGTGCCTTTTCTCTAAATACTTTCATGGTTTATTGTTCTCATAAACTTTCTTCTGAGGTACCAAGACTATATGAATTCAAATGCAGTACTAGATTTGCGGCAATGTCTTATCCTTTTACAGTTGAAATGACTAGATTTAACTGTAAGTTCTATGCTAACAGTTAAAATTTAAATGCAATGCCAATCATCATCTTCAGTCTTAATTCCTGTTTTTTTATTGTTCTTGCTCCTTAATTTTTTTTTTTTTTTTATATTCTTTCACACTCAGTAACCCACTGTGTCTTAGTGGCTTTATTACATTCCTTGGTGTAAATAGATTTTTAAAAAATCATGTTATTTAGTTAGAAAGTAACAGCCTTGAAAATCAGGATTTCAAACCTTGACTTTTAAATGACTACAGATTAACCAAAACTTGACTAGTAATATTTTGGAAAAGTATACAGATGCCTCATGACTACCCCCCACCCCGCCATTTCATTTCTTCCCAATGTCCTCCCCCAACTATTTTTTTTCTTTCCAATGCCCCCAGCATGCACTTCAGCTCTTCCTTTTTACTCATCCCTTTTGTCTTCCTTTTCTAATCTCTTTTTTTCTATAAAAAGTTTGACGACTCCCCCACTCCCTACCTACCTCTTTTCTTTTCGGCTCTATTGTTTCTCCTTCCCACTCAATATCTTAGCTTACTTTCACTCACTCACTCACTCACCCAATGGAAACAGATGGTGGTAGGGGGGATATGAAAAAGAGGGTCAGGACCCTCTTAGCTATCCCTCCCACAATGGTTCTATTGGCTTATCTAAACTATAATAAACACTTTCATTCAACTCTTGATGATCTGACCATTTTTCAGCATGTGGTTCCTTTCATCTAAAAATCCAGAATCATCCTTAAGTGGGGCAGATAGTGGGGAGAGATGAGTAAGGATTTTTAAATAGAATAGGGCAGGGATGGTTATAGGGTGATCATGAAGAGATTAAAGTTAAGAAACAATATTAAAAAAAAAAAAAAATGAAATTAAGAAAAATTAAAAAGATCTATTCAAAAATATACAGTACAAAAATATTAAGATATATATAACTCAATAAAACTGGCAACTTTTGATAAAAAAACAAGAAACATACTTAATAACATTAATTACAAACACAGCTACAATTTGAAAATTAAGAATATGTCTACTTTTAGTAATTTTTATACCATCTACTATAGCACTCACACTGTTTATTATATAAATAGTCCTGAGTATGATGATAAACTACATCTGGCACCAAGACCTCTGATTTAAAGATTGAAGTTTTTGAGACATGTGGGACCACATATTAATTGCTGTTGTACCTCGTATAGTAGTACCTGTTAGGGTCCCAGCTATGGTCAAATAGTGAACCCAAATACAAAACACCATGAAAGTATAAAAACACTACAAATACATTTTTAAAGCAGAATTACTAACAATATATATTATAGCAAAATGACCAACAATACATTTTATCTGTAGTTGAAGCCATAAAATTGTGTTCAAAATGTTTAGATTTTGGCATTACATAACGCATAGAAGTTGATAGGCTGCTAAACAAAATCAACCAACCAACTAAATTATTATATAAAAGATAATCCTTGAAAATGATTAATAGTTCAACTAAAAGCACTTGAAATAAAGAAAATTTTAGACCTTTTTTACACTGATTAAATCCAGAAAGACCTCAGATGCATGCAAGTAAAACATGATTAAAAAAAACTTAACAAAAGTACCTTGGCAGTCTTGTTCAATGAAACATATATCAAAGAGTGATTGTTGCCTAAATACACACATATGCACACTCACAACCACATATTACTATAAACATTATTTTTAGTGGCTACACTTGATTGAATTGATATCCCTGTTTTTCATTTTCTTAAACAGTGAAATTAATATAAACTGGCTTAGATCAAGAAGTCTTACTAAAGAAAAATGTGTCTCCCAACAGGAATTGAATCTGTATCCCATTTTCCATCAAGGAAACCACTCCAATAGTTGAAGTGTGCTGTTACCAATTTGGCTTTGGCTGTAGGAGTGGTTTCACTGCAGTTTCACTTTCTGCTGGGAGGCACATTTTTCTTTAGTAGGACTTCTCAATCTAGGTCAGTTGTTATTTTAACAAAAAAAGTTAATACTTACACAATCCTTGGACTGGTGTATAGTATCAAACTTAAACTCAATTGATTTGATTTTTTTCTTTTCATTTTATTTTACATTATCTCAAATCTCTGTTAGCTGGAACCACCATTGTCCTCTGAATGTGCAGATCATTTTTTCTACTCTCTTCCCTATCTCCAGTTTCTTTGACTCTTTTAGTCCCAACTTGGTTCTATTTCCTTCTTGTTTTTTGCAATTAAAAATCTCACAGCCTTTTTCTCTCACTCTCTGTCAAACCTCACTTCCACCATAGGATACCATTCTTTTATCATTGCTGTTACAGCCACACCCAAAGACCAAATACTCACTGCCAATGTATCACTTTTCAACAAATACATAATGTGTACTGAGGTAGCAACCCTTCATTAATAGATATTTGATGAATGGGTTATATAGGAATTAAATCATATATATTTCAACCAATAAAATCCTATCAGAAGGTTTGTTTGATAAACAGTCATTACAAGAGCAAATATCACCAAAATACTTGGTAGATATAGTTGTAGACCTACCACATGTTATTTTTAAACCATTTAGAAAATAACTCTTTTTACCACTCCTGCAAATTCAAGAAAAATTTGCAAGCCAGTATGAAAATTATTTTCTAACTAATGAAAACCTTGTATTAAAAAATTTCACATCTCTATATGATATTAGATTTTGGATCTCTTTTATGGATATAAAAATAGAAGCCTACTGCTTCCCTGGGCTAAAAATAATTTCAGAGGCCAGTTTGATTTACACATGCCTACACACACAATGGAAGAGACAACAACCAGCAGCCAGCGACTAAGGCCTTGTCCACTTACACAACAGAAGAGAATAACCAGCAGCTGCCTACTAAGACTTTGTCTATGAACTCATAAACACATTAGGTTGACCATCATAAAGTAAGTCTGTCTACCCATTTCACACTGCACTAAGAAAACTTAATTAGTTTATAAAACAAACTTCACTACAAGAAAAATTTTAATGTTTATTGTATATTTCCGAAAAGAAAACATAAATGTTATATCAACTGATGTTCTGATTCTACTGTTCCTTCAGTAAATAACCTTTTTTTATGTCTCATTTAAAAAGATGTTTTGTTGTTAAATGTTTGGTATCCTGACATTTAGATAAAAACAAAAATCTGGGTAGATAGATCCCAATGGTGGCACATACAAGGAATGTATTAAATTTTGGACAGTTCTTATGACTACTGACCTATGTTTACACCCACAGAAACAAAAAAGCTTAAGTAAAAAAAGAAAATGCTTCCTTGCAGCCTTTAATCAAATATATATTCATATAAATGTATGTGCATGTTTGTAAGTACAGTACGTGCACTCATTATCCACGGTAATATTTTTTCCTTGTATATATATATATATATATATATATATATATATATATATATATATAATATATCAAATAGTTTCAGTAAGAGATTGTTGTGGGAGATTAGTATGTTTGGGTAAATCTTAGTCAACATTATGTTGTGGGAATCAACACTTTGGGTAGTAAATATTTACAGGCTCCTGGAATATTTATCCCACAAATAATATTGGTAGACTCAATGTGAGTTCAGGTAAAAATGATTAACACGAAACAATAAATATGAAACAAATAACAATGCATGTATTAACAAAAGGAATTACATGTGTAAACTGTTGTAACAAAAGGAAAAAACATGTTCTAAGAAGTGTAAGTAAGTAAGTAACAAGCATGTGTGATAGACATGTGTATGTGAGAAAGTTCAAAAGTCAAAGGAAAACCAAAGAAGCAAACATGCATTCTCAGCAGTGTTCATATCTACATGCGACTACATCTGAAAACTGAAGCTAAAAAGACAAACAAGTGAGTGAGTGAGAACATCATTGCCTGTTTATAGGCTTAAAGAGTGCTACTTAGCAGGTGTTTTGGTACAGTCAAGTGGGATAACCCATGAGATTAACAATAAGTAATCAAGTGCAGACTATTGTCCTCATCTTTATTATCACAAAGTTTTCGCTGTTGTGCCCTTTAGCCTTCATCGGGTATATATTGATCCAGGTAACTTATAGGGAATTGAACCCTTTATTTAATCTATGAGGTTAGACTGTCCTCATTTAGGGATATCTCTTCTAGTACTTATTTTAAATACTGCTCACCCTGTTCTCACAGAGTCCAAATACACACTGCCCAGCCCAGGGACTGAACTTATAATTATCATGTCACCAAATTAAAGCATTATTTCATGAATAGTGATATTTTTGTTTTTTGATCATTCCTCAAGTGTTTTAAGATATCTTCATGGTAGCATTGATTCATCTCTTGTCTGTATTGCCATGGTAATTATTCTGTTTCAAGCCTTTGTTTACATTATAAAAATACAAAAATCCACAAATAATAATAATCCTGCCAACCATAACAAAAGTAGGTGCATAATCCTACCTCAGTCAGTTGAGTGCCATACGTGATACATGTTTGGGAAATCATGTTACTGTTGAACCACAACTGACTAGGCAGAAGATTTTCTTACAGTAGATTGCCATTTGTTTCTGTTGTAGACTGGTTGCCAATCAAGGCTACAGAACTTAATCTGTCCTTCTATTCATCTCCATAGATGGAGGAAGAAGAAATAGATCCATACCTCCCCTAAGGGTATTCGCATATAAATGAAAGTGATCAGAAGGTGGAATTGGTTGGAGTAAAGAAACAAATTAGACACTGGTTTGGAGAAATGACCAAAGATTCATTTTCATCTACAAGATAGGAAAATGTCTCTGGTAAGTTGTATAGTGTAGTGTTCAAATGTATGAGGTGTGAAATGAGAGTGTGAAAAAGGAGTTTGCTCAACCTGGCTGACTACTTGTTGATTATCGGTTTGGGCTTGTCCTGATGATATTGGAGTCTGTTCCCTTTTTGTGTTCACAGGAGGTTGGTTTTCACGGCCTAATGGACAGATGGGCAGTCAGTCATGCTCTCAAGTAGCCTCTATAGTAAGTGTGTGAAGTCTCTCTCTGCTCTCTGCCTTGTTCAGCTTCTTTTATAGCCTATATAAGGGAAACACAGGGTCATAATTGTAAACGTAAGTGGCAAGCGAGAGTTGCATTGATAATGGCCAACACTCTGGTATATTTGTGTTTTTAAAATTTGTTTTGAGAAGAATGCGGCATGTGTATAGTTGGAGATATGTTTTCTAATAATTGTATAAATTTGATTTTAATTTCTAACTATGTGTAAATTGTGTTTTTCTACTACAAATGTAATGAATTCTACTGGAATTCAAATTCAGCTCTCCCATTTCTCATTCTGAGCCAATATCTATTACACCACAATGCACATCCTATCTACCAAGTCTATAACAGCTACTATCAAAAATAACATCCAACCTTAGCCTAAAATTAATCAACAACACCTCCAAAACAATAAAATTTCATTAGAACCAAATCAACAACAGAACAGAAGCAGGAATATACAAAATAGATTGTATAAAATGCTCAATGGTACATATCTGTGAAACCTCCAGAAACCTTGAAAAAAAGACAATATGAGCATTGCAAAGATATGCAGACTAACAACAGTTCACTAGTAGTTCACTAATATGTAATTGACCCCAATTTCTACTTAATAGATACCAGTCTGACCAGAAGAGTAAATGTATTGAGAGTGTGTTAATGTCACAATTTTCAACATAAAGAATACATAATGTCACAGATCAGGACCAAAAGCAATAGTAACAAAATGCAATTTACAAACTCACATAAAAAAAAAAATCAGATCAACTCATAGTAGACAGATTTAAAATCCAACAACTCTAATATTATATATATATATATATATATATATACTTCCTGGCGAATTTTCAACTTTTGTTTCTTATACTATTATACTATTATTACATTCTCTCTCTCTATATATATATATATATATATATATATATATATAGTAAAGCCCATGTATGTGTGAGAGAAAGTAATAGACTATGTATTCACTTGTAAATTTTAAAATGAAAAATTTTTATTAAAGCTTTTATTTTAGTTCTAATTCCAAGCTAATAGATTAAATTTAATATTCCTAATAACCAACATACTTTGTATTCAAATCAACTTTAAATTCATTGGATTGATTTTTTTATTATTATTATTAATAAAATCACTAAAATCTTCGATGTTGACAAATCTGTCAATAAACTTTTTATTACATAATCTTTCAAAAATAAAATATACTTTTCTGATACTTTATTTCAGGAAGATTAACTGATGTACATTTTAATTAATCTGATTTGAAACAAATATTATTTACTTTTAGTTTAAAATATTGCAGCAAAGCAATTTTTAACATGGAGATGGGTGTTTTTAAGAGATGTTAACAGATCTTTCGGAATAACCTTATATATTGTTGAAGAGTTTAGTAAAATTACTTGAAGAATACAACATAAAATGCCTTTTTTAGATAATTTTTTAACTACCCAGTAATGTAAAAAAATTAAAATATTTTAAACATTCTAATATTTGATTGAATTTTAAGTATTTTGGTTTTACAGGTTTACTTAGAAAGATGCTTGTTGAGGAAATGTTAGTAAAATTTAAATTTGCTACAGTTACCATTATTTTTTTTTTTTTTCATCATTTATGCTCCTTTTTTTTAGCGAATAGGAGTTACCGATCATATCCGCAACTTGTGGGAAATACGACGATAATAACCTCATCCACATAAAAATAAGGAAAGCATTATTCATGAAAACCAAACATAAGTGGCTATGTTTGGAAATTAAAAAAGATTCCGTATACTTTCAGTTAAAAAAACATCCTTGTTAATGCAATGGTTTTTAAATTAATGTTCAATAATTCGCCAAAAAACAAAACTAAAAAAAAACAAAACAGCATAGCATGATGAAAAAAGGCCCCAATTTAATAAAAACAAAGTTTTATCGTGAAAATGTTTGTTATTAATAAGAGGAAAGACCAAAGTATTTTTTTAATTATTTTAAAAAAAAAAAAAATTTTATTCCTTTCTGACACGTTTGAAATTTTGGTTGAAAATCGTTTTTTTGTTTTTTTTTTTTTTTTTTTTTTTTTAACGTCAGCGGTCGCGTAATATTGTAGTTTAGCATTCATTAGTTTTTTAGCGCTTTTTTCAGTTGAAAAACATTAATATGGAAATTCTTGCAAAAATCAAGTAATTGTCAGATTTTAATGAAACCTTCAAAACTTATTTAAAAATGAATGAAATTATTTTAGAAATTGCTTTAGAAATCATTGTCGCATTTTCAAAATTTTTAATTTTCTTTTCTTTTTTTTTTTTTTTTTTTTTTTTTTTACATATTTCAACAATTATTTTCTTTCTAAATATAATCATTTTTTTCTTTTTCATTGAGAGACATATTGCAATTATTATTTTCTTTTTCGATTCAATTTTAGGGACGCAAACAGTGCAGACTTTGGACATATCTTCGTTAAAAAAGTACTTAAAAATCAATAAAATATTAGACTTTTGAAAGGATTTAGTTTTTAAGAATTACTTTTCATTAAATAATCTGATTCACTTAAAATTCGAAAATACTGTCACTTCTGTCCTTCCATCCGATAAATTACCCTGCCGTTAGTTGTCGATACATTGACGTAAACGTCAATTCACACTGCCACCCAAAACAAGTTACCACGGTTAGATATGCTTCTCTTTTATTTCCAACTAAATCTTTTCTGCTAAAAATTTAAGTAATAAGTATACTTTAATGTTTTTAATTTTCCTAAAATAACTTTTTTTTTTTTTTTTTTTTTTAAAAAGTATAATTGAATTTTACAAGATTTTTAAACGGGGAATTTCACTTTTGTTTACAAAACTGTAAAAAATGGCTGACATGATCGATTTTATGTAAATTGTGATGACTCAAAAAAGATTTTTAACTAAAATTTTGTACGTGCTAGAAAGGATTAAAAATTTTTTAAAAATATTCAAAAATACTTTGGTTTGCTCTTTCCTGTTAATAAAAACAAACATTTAGACGATAAAAAAAAAATGGTTAATCAAGTTTCTTGGGGCTTTTTTTTCATCAGGGTATGCTCTTTTTTAGCGAACTATTGAACATCTGAAAGCGCTCGAATCCATAGAACATTTAAACAGTTTTTGGTTTTGGACATTCTACCTCCATAAAACAAAATATTCATATCAATACAATGAAAATTTAATAAAAAGCTTAATCGCAGTGTTTTGTCTATTGTCTTCACTTTAAACTTATATAAAAGAGGGATTGTTCCTTATTTCTTTAAATTGTTTGTAAGCATTATTTTATATATAGTCTTCTTTTTACTACAGTTTCTTTTCTTTTTCGTCTTTCACCTCTCTCTCTCTCTCAGAACTATCATACTAATTCTCCCAACTCCCGAGTCACACTTAAATTCCTTAATGACAGCATCGAACTGTGGGAATATTTTGTTATATATCCTTTTCCCGCCATTTTTTTTTTTTTTAGTTTAAAAAGAAAAATAATCCCCAACCCCGGCACTAATTTCTCCGAGCCACCTTCCACCGACACCTCATCTGGAAAAAACAAAATCTTCCTTCTATCTATCAACCAAGCCCAGGGATTGTGGGAAGAACAGAACCTGAGAAGGCTAGGGAGGAACAGAAGTAACAACGGGCAGTGGGGAGAGGGTTTTTAAAAGCTACCAGAAAAATCTAAGTCAAGTTCTTTGCATTGTTTTAATGACAAAGAGTGTCAGTTTCCTGTTTATTTTCTCTATTCAACTCCTTTAACTGACCCCCTAAAGCACAGCCTCCACAGCCCCTCCCTATCTTTGCACCTATACCTCCCTCCGCCCAAGAGAATTCCCCACACCCACTTAACTCTTGTTCTCTTTTCACTGATCATATTTAGTTTAGATCTTTTGTTTCCTCCTTGTAATCTCTCCATTCGCCCTTACACGCTTCTATTTTATTTTTTTTAAAATTCCTTTATCTTATCTCTGGAAAGATTTGTGACTGCAAGATTACATAGGTTGCTACTTTGTTTTTTCTTGTTGTGTGAGAAGAGGTCGGTGTAGCTTTTATGCATTTTCAATTGTTTTGCTTTTGTACCTTAGTGTGTGTGTGTGATCTTATTACTTTAAACGTTAGTGGATACACGTGTTTCAGTACCAGGGATGAAAGCGCATTAGAACAGATCTGGGTCCAGAGCCTTCTCAACTCTTTGGAGTAACCTCTTTCAGATTGACCATGTCTTAAGGAGTGTTTGCCGTCCTCACCACTTTCATCCAGTTGTGGATTGATGAGACTGTTTTTAACCTCTAGTTAGAAATCTTGAATTCAGAGTTGTACTTCTCCGCCCAATGATCTCTCTTGCTATTTATTTATATAGCTGAGAGAGGGAGAAGAGCTGAATACATACCTTTCCCCAGGGCATTTGCGTATAAGTGAATGTAACAAATTCGACTGGAATTGGAACTCGGCTCTCCAACTTTAGGTCTTGATCAAGGAAAACGTGCTTGCCACACGCCATCGTTGCAGTTCGTCTTGCAATGATCCAAGAATTTCACCTGTAACGTCGCAATACGAGTGGCCTCGACCGCTCCCTTCGATCATTGCCTCACCGTAGACGATTCCTCAATCTGAGCCACTATCCATTACTCCACTGTTTAAGTAGATATTCGCTTTTTAAACAGTGTGAATTTATGTCCAGCGGTCTGTGCATTTGAAACTTAATAGAAAAAAAAGTCTTACGTCCTCCTTATGAGGAAAACCATCATAAATCCGGAGTGTATGTGTGCTTCAGAGAAAGTAATATACTATGTATTTGCTTGTAAGTAATTTTCGTCAATAAGTCAATTTTTTATTTATTTTTTTACACGAAACGGTTATATAACTTACTTCAGAGGTGGAGGTTTTGAACGTACTCCAGCGGGGGCGTCTTTTCCCACGTACTACTGCATCTTGGTGCAAGAGTGACAAAGAATGTTTGTGTTTTTATAGAAATTAAACAACGCCATTTATCGGGCGTTTGGCGAAGCCAGGTGGAGTAATAGAAATTCCGGTTCCTTTATTACTGGCATAATGTATTTTTCTTTTTTTTTTATTATTCATTATTATTAGTTTATTTATTGATTTTATTATATTTTCACTCAGATCTTATAGATTGGCGCTACAGGACCACAAACATTTTTATTAAAAAATAGAAAGAAAATCACTTGTTTTTCAACAGCAGCAACAACTAAAATGGACAGCACATGCAACTAGAAGAGAAAATGGCATAATCAAGATGTTGACTTTCCACACTACCTTATACAAAAGGTTTGGAAGGAAACTCAGTACAATGAAGAGCGATAACAGTGGACTTGAGAAGCCCATTTTCCTCAAAAAGGGATCTTATAAATTACAACCGCCAGTAACGCTAAATTTTCGGTCAACGAATACCGAATGTTTGCTTATAAGGAAACGGCGGTTTTCACTATTATCATCACTATTAAACATTATCTAATTAGCCCTTTCTTCTGCATCTAGCAGTGATGCTTAAAGAGAAAAATCAAGATTTTTTCCAATGATGTTCACCTTGTACAAGACTCACTCGAGGTAGAGGATTACAGAGTATAAGTCACTGTTCATGCGGTTACGTGGGGCAGACTGCTGTTAATCTTAGACTTGAACAAGTTAAGATTATAGTGATCAAGAATGCATCTTCTTGGGAGTCGGTTCCACAAAGCAACAGTTTGTGAAAAGAAGCTGCTAAAGTGGAACTTACATCTCACCGATGGAATAAGTGGGGAATGGCGAACCTTAGCTGTGAAGGTTAGGAGTGGTGGAACTAAAGAATAAACATTTTCCAAGCGAGTGGTTTGTGTCATTTCGTCTGTGGGGAAAGGTGTTGTAAGGTGAAAAATAATTTATCACCCACGAGCACACGGAGACTTGAAAGGCAATTAAGAAGTATCTTTATTATGAAATAGAAGCCTTAGGTACAGACAATCCACAAAAAGACAATTTTGATTGTTTTTCTTAATGTCAGATACTAAATGTCATGATTTTTTTTAAGGATACAAGTTCTCATAAAACAAAATATCTTTCATTTCGTTTTATTTAATTTTATCTTATATTTTTAAATTTAAATACACCAAGTTTTTTTTTTTTTTTTTACTTTTTGTTTTTTTAATGTTTAGAAAACAGAAATAAAATTTGACAGGCTGAGATGAAAGGTTATTTTTTGTTTTCGTTTTTAGAAAAAAAAAATCCGGAAGTCGATGTATATCTCCAAGAAGAAACCAAAAATAAATGGTAAGTTCCAAAAATCGTAATATAGATAAAAAAAAAACGTAAAAAAACAAACACCATTGCCTTGACTTTAAATAAAAAAAAGTCCTGACTCAAAAAAGACCAATCAAAACGCTCAACGTATTGATAAAAATCAAAACACTGCTCGTTTTGATTGGTCTAAAAACAATCTATGAATAGAAAATAAATCAAATGATTCACGTCTTTTCCCTTTTATCTCTGTGAGAAAACTGAGTTTCCTCAAATGAGATCATTTTAGAGAAGCTGATTTAATTACATCCAAGGGACAGATAATGTTACACAGTTGACTTTAAATTCCTAAAAAAAAAACAAATTAAAATATAAAAAATGGATTACTTTGAAAGAGAAATAAATAGCAATTTCCAGAAAGTTGTCTTTCCTCATTCAGTGATGTAAAAATATTTTGTTGATATTGCGGCATCCTTTTGATATTGAGAGCATTTTAAAATGAATGGTGTCAGTATTTATAATAAATTTAGCCCGTAGCTGAATTGACAATCACTTAAATTCTGCTACCAGATTAATTGTCTTCCACTAACAACATTATAACGTTGTAATGAGTAAAAACAAAAGGCTGAAATTAAATTCTAACTATGCATGAGCATAAAAACAGGGACAAAAATTGTGGTTTCAATATCAGTTAAAATAATTCTTTTTAACAAAGGATATATAATCTTCTTTGAAGATGGTGTAAAGGGAAATGTATGTTTCTTATTGAACAAGAAATTACTGTCAGTCGATGGAGAAAGGAAGTCAAAGGAACACTTTCAATGCATGAATGTGTGTAATGGGGATAAGTAGATTGCAAAGTGAACGGTTGACTAAATGATCAGTGTGTGTGAGAGAGAGATGGGAAGAAAAAACTAAAAAACAAAGAACAAATTCCTCAGAAAAGATAGTCACCATTGTTTATTTCTTATCTAGTTTTTAAAGGGCAAAGACGTGTCCGAAAATTCCGATATTAAAACCTTTCTCAACGTGCTTCCATTTAGTCAAAAGCCCTAAAATATTATTCTTATTAACAATATTATTATCATTTTCGGTTTTATCTCTCCAATTAAATTAGCCGGCCTCTCTCTCTATCTCTCTCATATAAAAATTTGACCATTAACTTTTTATGTATTATGTGTGTGTGTGTGTGTGTGCAAATATATAGGAAAATAGGAAAGAACCGTTAGGTTAATAATCCAAAGTTCTTCAGTATTTTTGTTTTTATTTAAAAAAAAAAAAAAAAAAAAAAACAGTGCTCAATACCCAAGTAGAGCCTAAATTATAATTATTTTTTAAAAATATGATTCCATATAAGATAAAGAACAAATAGGAAACATTTATCAATCTAACATGTTTCACTTTAGAGTTTTGTCAGAGATTGATTAAAAACAGATAAGCATGTTAGATGGATAAAAGGCTTCCTATTTGTTCTTTATCTTATCATCCTGTTGGATTCCGATCCATATGTGATCTGTATTTAATCTTTAGAGCGCTCTCTCTCTCATATATATATATATATATATATATATATATATAACTGACCAGAGAATTCAGGATAAAATGTATCCATCCAGTTCTTATCTCAAATAACAACTTAAAAGAGACTGTTTGACCAACACAAGGAATGTTAAAAGATTCATGTGAAAAGATAAAAATAAAAAACAAATGAAAACTACAGACAAAAAGTTCATTTTCTCCAACAAAAGACATTCATTTCTGTAGTTCACTGCCAACAGCAAGCAGAAATATTTCTCCTCCCGATGATGGCCATTTCGGTCAAAACTAGTCGAGGAATCTAAATGGAATAATAATAATAAAAAACGAAAGAATATTAATCTACAACCCAGTGTGTCTAATGATTTTAATTTTTTATTTTCTTATTGTTCAAAAAAAAAAAATATATATATATATATATATATATATATATATATATATATATATATATATATATATATATATATATATATATATATATGGGAGAGAGAAAGTACTTTGACATGGTGTAATGGTTAGAAAGCTTGTCTTGCTAGATCAGTTACAACTGAGTAGTGAGTTCGATCCTCACTGGGTGCCACATCCAAGATGCACTTAGAAAATCACAATTATATATATATATATATGTTTCTTTTTTGGACACAGTGTGTCCAGAAAAGAAAACACTTCTGTCTGTGTATGAATGAAGGATTGCTGCATATATATATATACAAACACACTGTGTGTGTGTCTGTCTACAGCACAGAGAGACCAAAGAACAGTCTCAAATCTAATTAATAGACAATGTTCCTTATATGAAGTTTAGTCAGTTCATATAACTTGTTTTGTTTTTTGCTTTTTTTATGTGGGGGTGGATCATTCTGATTGGTCCATAAATCTAAAGAAAAGCATCTCTTTTCAAACTAGATCAACTTTTTGGAATGTTGATGTTGTCGGTGGGGTGGGGGAAATTTTTTGATCCTAGATTAGATTTTAATCCCAAATAAACTTTTCTTATTGGCTATACCTAGAATAATTCTTTTAGATTTAAATTTAGATTTGTTTCAAGTTACTCTTTAATTTTAAGCATTCATTAATCCAATAATTGAAATAACGTAAAAACTGATATTT